GTCTGTCAGTCAGTCAGTCAGTCAGTCAGTCTGTCAGTCTGTCAGTCTGCCTGTCTGTCTGTCTGCCTGCCTGCCTGTCTGTCTGCCTGTCTGCCTGTCTGCCTGTCTGTCTGTCTGCCTGCCTGCCTGTCTGTCTGCCTGCCTGCCTGCCTGCCTGCCTGTCTGTCTGCCTGTCTGCCTGTCTGCCTGTCTGCCTGCCTGCCTGTCTGTCTGTCTGTCTGCCTGTCTGTCTGTCTGTCTGTCTGTCTGTCTATCTTTGATTATCTACATGCTGTGATGAGGGTCAAGAAGACTCTTTAGAATTTATAATGACTGCAAGAGAGCGATAAAGTTTAGAATGACCGCAATTAATAGATTATAACTAAACAACGAAAATTCTGGAAACTTAATTTCAACAATAATGGCAGAGATTTCTGTCCTGTTAACTATTTGTAAGTTGAAAATCAGACAAATATTTGACGAATGGCGTAACTCCTTCGAACAAATGAGAAGGCAAAGGAAACGTTTGCCCACATATATCCAGTGATTGGAGATCCTAGATCTTTAAGCAAACATAAAGACTTTATATCGGCTGTCTACAAAATAATTATTGAAGCTAATAACAAATTTATAAACTAATTAGTCATAAAATAAAAATGATGGAAAATATATTGAATAACTAAATAACTCGTGTACGCCTCTTGCTTTAATCAGTAGTATAAACCTAATGGTAAAGAAATTATAATCCTCAGTATTAAGCAATTAGAAAAATCATAACCAGAGTATCTGCAGTGTTAATAGGTTTGGCTATGACGAATGAAAACTACCTGTGATGTTTTTATTAAACATCAAAACTAGGAGATGTTGTAGGACCTGATGTGCGCTTTGTTTGACTGTTTAATTAGGACTCATGTGATTTTTAGAGTGAAGGCATTTCATTAACTCATGAAATAAAAAATACTAGTCAACGTTTTAACAGTCAAATAGACACAAAAGAAAACAATGCAATTTAGGTCTACTAATGTGTATTAGGCTAATATCTATTTCACGGGCTTAGTGATTTCATTYTAATGAAATTTGTAAGGGAGGGTAGGGTAGGGAAGTTGTACTGGTACGTCTAAYACAATCGTTGCTAAGAGGTAAAGAAGCTTTAGAAATATCATTGCCAAGGATTATGGAGACGTTTTGAATAAAATCAAATCTGACAGCAAGGAAAAACAAATACTTCATGCAACAATCCAACCACCGACTTTGAATACGCTAAACGGTCTGTGATTGGCTTCTTGGAAATGACACTTGATTAAGTTTACTAACCACTGGTGGCAGTTGCTATGGAGATGCGTGAATAATTCATTAGTCTTAGTTTGCAAACTGAAGCGAACCAGGCGTAGCCTCTCACTTGTAAACAAACCTCGGTGCCACTCACTTTAAATACTTTTAAGGGTGATATTTCTTGTGTGGTAAAATGGCTGATRATGAGAATAAGCCCGCTGAAGGCGAAGAAGAAAAGAAAGAAGAAACGCCCGCTGAAGGAGAGCCTGCAGCCGATGGAGATAAACCAGCAGAGGAAGGAGAAAAAGCCGAAGGAGAAAAAACCGAAGAAGAAAAAACCGAAGGAGAAAAGACTGAAGATGGAGAGAAAAAAGATGACAARCCTGAGGGAGATGGAGAAAAGAAAGAAGAAAAGGATAAAGAAGAAGAGAAAAAGGCAGAAGCAAAGAAAGAAGCAGAAGAAGAAGGTTGTTGTTGTATTCTTCTCTAACTGACATTAGGATAATAGGGTTTTTAATGAACATTTTTTAGACATCACAAAGAAGGAGCATCATCCAGAAGCATCTCACACACGGCAATACCTCAAGTCATCTCGAACTGACTGGAAAGTAATTCGTTTTGTGCTAAGGATAACGTTGACTGTTATTTTCATGAACAAAATTGGAGCAATTCCAGTCGACGACAGGCTCTTYAAACAGCACTTGCTACAAGTGATAAACCGTCTGATAGTTTGTAGTTGACTTTAGTAGCTAGTAGATAGTCTACACGAGGTAAATTCCGAGTTCCAGAGCTTGGCATGTCAGTAATATTGGACGACAATCTTTGGAACTCGTAATTTGGCCGCGCCCGTTGGATGTTTTTTTTTTCTTCCTTTTTTCCTGGCGGTGTTAGCATAGTGTATCATAGCTTGTTTATAGAATCCTAGTTGATTTGCTTAGACAAAATACAAAACACACAGGTATGGGGTTCGGATTTCTTTCTCATTGTGCAAACATTTTGGCACCATTTTCTAGACAAATGCACCAGAAATGTCAGCGTAAACACGTTTAACGTTCACCCTCATAGTTTTCAGCCATTCATTTRGTATGATAAGAACAAAAGAACACATTGTACATGTTTGTTGTGGATACAATATTTATATCTTTCAATAAGAACAGCTAGGAAACTTAATTAGGCGTCAACTAACGAAAACTCTGTAGAATTGATCGTGGAAATAATGTAAAAAACTGTGTACAAAGTATTTATACTTCTAGAATATAAATAGTCTTGTAATTTTGGCCGTTTTTATAGAATCGATGTACAGTTTGTTGGGTTTTATTAATTAAATATTGATTAGCGTGAGAGGCTGTCAGTGTTTTTAATTGTTACTAGGGGGTGTCTTCTGACTACCTGCAGAACCTTCAGTGAAGTTATCAATAGAACAAATACCCATTCATCCCTCCCCTCCCTCCCGTTCTCTCGGTTCGTTTTGCTGTTGTATTTTTGTATCGCAATTTTAATTCGGCACGTAAGACAAGATTCTATATATTTGAGGCACCTTTTACGTAAAAGCACTAAATTTTCTCATAAAAATGGATTGAATTTATATTCTTAAACTCTGTAGTTTGTCAAAATCATGGAGCAATGAAAGAATAAATGTGATGCGAAAGGATTAAGAAGATTAAAAATTAGTTTTGAAATTGAAATGGCGAAAATATTGCTTAAAATTCTGAGGGAAAGATGATTATGAATGGAATACTGAAAACTGAAAAATAAACAATCTTAAAAGCTGATTAAATCTTGAAGAATAAAAACTAGGAAATTGTAATAATAATGATGGGAAAATATTCCTTGAAATTTTAAATTTAACTTTGTGTTATTCTGTAGAGAAATACTCTGAGTAAAAACGCATCTATAACAAAAAAAGTAAGACCAGAAATAATAAATAAAGGACTTTGAAAGTAAATTGTGGTTCAGGGCCCGGTTGTACGAAGCTTGGATGAGTACTTTCCAAAAGATAAATCCTTATCCAGTGGATAAGTCGATGCTGTTATCCAATAAATATATGGATAGCGCTATCCAGGATTCGTACAACCGGGCCCAGTATTTTCGTATAAAGTTGCTGCTCTCTTGATGATAAAAATCTCTTACTTTGTCTGCATTAATTACTCATCCTTGAACGATGCATTGCAGAATATCATGCAATTAAATTTTAAGTTCACAATGACTCACTTTCAACGAAATTTCAGTAAATTGTAATTGTTCAAGACGTGAAAAATAGCTTTTATTCAGATCTTTTTGCGTCTATGACTGATGCAATTACACTAGAATGTTCTTTCAGAGCAAAGCATAATCTAAAATAGTAAGTTCTCGATTAATATTTATAAGATATAATAGCTATACAAGTTTCAAGATTTGGCTATTTTTGAACTAAAAATTTCATGGTACTTGAAATGAAATGTTTATATAATATATATATATATATATATATATTGCGTCTCCCACCTTTCTAAGTTGATTAATAATTTTTTAAACAAACTCTCAATCCTGCTATTTTATATTTTTTTATTTTATGTTTTAAACGAGAAATAAAGAATAAGCCCCCTGGGCCCTCTGAAATTTAACCTGAAAGGAGGCGGTTTGTTTTGACAATTTTAGCAGGTTGTGAGCTGAGCTGGATTGTGTTGCAGAACTGCAACAAACAGAACCTGCYAGGTCTGGTGCTTGCAATGAATAGTCGCGAATCAGAGACGAAATATTGAATACTTTTGGCAGATAACTAGTCAGTATATGAAAGTCAATGTCAACTGACCAACCAATGCAATCAGATTCCGGCATTCCTGAAAAAGATCTAGATTAGGCTGGGAAGACTRAAGTGATGAAACTGAATGGAGCTAGCAAGAAGAAAAATCGGAATATTTTACAAATTCTTTATGAAAATTCTAATAAATAAATGATATATAGATAAAATTTTATGGAGTTTTGAATTATTTTGAGTAAAGGCTGGAGTTAATAGCTCAGCGCACTGATTCTAAAAATAGCTTAAAGATTCGGACAAACATTGCATTCTGTTTAACCGCTACGAGGATTATACGAACCGATTTTATTATTTTTACTTAAAGTTACAATAATAACCCATGTAAACTAAGATCAACTGCGACCGGCTGTGAAAATTATCTGCTGAAAGTAAACTTGTAAGTTTGTTTGTCCGAATTTTGCCTTTGTCTTTGTTTTTATGACGTCACGGTTGCGCTGCGCTATTGCAGAGAAGGCTTTTTGAGACCTATTTTGCACTCACACATGCGCAGAAAAAAATGTTAAATATTGTATCAAAAAACTTTGACAAATCAAATCAAAATTGCCTTTTGAATCCCATTGGGTCGAAAACAATTTTGAGCCAGAGGATTCGTGGGCAGAAAGTGTCTTATAGTATACATGTCAGGAACGTTGCAACTAGTTTTCATGCGTCCCACATGCAAAAGAATGAAGTTGGGAGTTTAGCCATCAGCTAGACAATCGATTATTTAGGTCTGCTGGTCATAGCAAGGGGTTAATCAWCTAYGGTCTAGGGGCCGACTAACCTCTCCCTTAGGCTTCGGCCGAGCTTCCTGATCAGTCTGTAATTYCTCCCGGGATAGCGGYGTCGGGGTCGAAATCTCTGGCGTAGCCGTAAATGCTTTTGCGCTACCATACGACRCTTCAGCATTCGGGTCTGGGAGTATGGTCTCCGGTTAGTTTCAATTAATCAAAATAAAAAACTTCAAAAATCAGAGTTCCAAAAGATGAGCTTCTAAACAAAATGAATGATTAAAAGAAGAGAATCCAATAAGTGCGCATGCGCATTTTATCAGAAATTTGCCAGAAAAAACTTCTATAGGATCATCTTAAAAGGTTGATGTATGAATCAAATGTCGTTAGTATGGAATACTTTTCCATGTGGCGAATAATAGTGCCATAATCCTTGGTTATATAACTTCGATTTGTAAAAACATTCAAAAAAATATTCGACGGCATAGTCAACTGTAATAACCGGAACAAGTTCTCATTAGATAGGACAGGAGTGAGAAAGAAGATCAGCGCAAWGTAGCTTTATTAAAACGCAAGTTCTGTGTTCTAAATAAACATATCTGACATGAACATGCAAGTGAAATRAAATAATAGTCAAAGAAACCACAATTTTCTTATACGAAGAGGAAGTAATTGATAAATTATGTCGGAAGGTTAAAAAATKCACTCACTATTCTCATGTGCTAAGATTCCAAAACCCCTGCAAAGAAGCAGAATGCCACCCGACTTCAACTATCATAACATAAGAAACAGCGTTCGTAATCCTCCTTTTTTTTRAGTTTCTTACTAATGAAATATATAAAAAGACAAATGACTGAGTATCATCTACTAAGACTTACCAAGCGACATGAGAAATCTTAGGTAGGTATGAACCAGTATAGACTAACATATACCCCAACACCGAACACCACTCCATGGGGCGGAGTCACAACAACACCWGTACCGTTGTGACYCTGATGYATATTATGATCATCWTCCCGTCTTATCCTGACTAGATCAAGATTGACATTTCGCTTTACTCGTTTTGGTTSAGYGCCAGGGKATGCTCCCGCTTCGGCTGCTACAGCAGCGGCAAGCATCGCTTCTATCGGGTCSGAAGAGTTGGAGTGTGAGTTGATATAATCCATAGTATCTTGAGCTGCTTTCTGACARWATATAATGTAGCCTGGCTGYCTTGGGGTGAAGAKAACTGACAGATCGTTCCTTTCAGTGTAATCGATTRTCATGCGGCATTTGCGCAAATGTTGCGGGTCTTGAATGCGTCGAATAAATGACTGGATGGTTTCTAGACTAGTGAAGTCCACAGATGGTTTGAGAAGGGGTAAGTCSAGAAGATCGCTTGCGATGTCCCTGTCTACTCTTATGCTTACTGCGGCGCCTAGGTAGAATTTCAACGAAAATATACTGCTTTAGCTGATGCGCCTGTAATGTTTTACTATTTCAGACCACATGCTGAGAACAAGCTTCTTCATTTAAATAGTGTGTATATTTATATAWCTTATGATGCGCAAACGTTAARCAAAGAAATGATAATCTAATGAAWAACASATGGTCTGASATGAGAAAACATTACGCTCTCGCTAAAAGGGTTTATACGTTTCAATGGGTCGAAAAGGTTCGGTTCTAATAGAGAGACGTTAATAGGGATGTGGGAAATACTATTCTGGAAACATGCTAACACTCTACCTGTATCTTCCCTCGCGTGCGCACMTTAAATAAAGCAAGCCATTTGAATSMAATAATTATGGAATCAYATATATTCCTTACCGCACACTGGACAGCAACTTCCTTCTGGRATAACAGTAATCGAACATGWAGGATGCGAACACCGCTTATTCTCATGCACTTTACGGCATCTTCTATTGACGTAYACAACGCTCCCATCATCCRCATTCACCACTTCTGGCTTGGCTACCGTGCTCTCGCATGTTCCTGGGTAATCAACGTGACGGCTAAGAAGATTTGCGTGACAGTCAGATTGGTAGAGAACGCCATCCGTTCCACAAACCTTTGAGGAGAAGACGTCAATTATGATAAAATTGTTAGGGACAACGTGCGCACGCGCATTGAAAGAGTTTTGGACGGATTAGCAGGGTTGCGTGACGGAAAGGCGAATTGAAAACCGTGACAGTCGGATTGGTAGAGAACGCCATCCGTTCTCCACAAACCTTTGAGGAGAAGACGTATGTAAATCATGATAAAATTGTTACGGACAACGTGCGCATGTGCGTTAAAAGAGTTTGCATGGCTTAACAGGTTTGCGTGACAGACAGCCGAATTGAACACCATTGACAAAAGACCTTCAGTCATGACAAACTTGTCATGGATATGAAAAAATCATGCTTGGGTACGGTACAGCGTCTTTAGGAACATACCTGTGTATTACCAGTCATACAGGCTGCTCTACACGGTCCTCTATAAGCAAAAGCTACAGACTTCTTAACCAGATGACATTCTGATGGATAGGTTTGACCATCTTCTCCACAAACCACCTYACTTGGTAGTGTATCATCAGAACACTCTGCTTTTGTTGAAACTACATCAAATCAATAAAGTTAACAGTAACTCTATGAAGTAATCCTTTGAATATGCACAACCAGCAGGCCGACAGTGGTATAAACACAGAGTCTATATTAATGTATCTTCTGTTGCGCAAGCATTAAACAAAGAAATGATACTYTAGGGAATAACAAGAGGTCTGAGATGGGAAAACAATATGCAAAGCCAGCAAGCGCGTGTCGCCGTTTTGCGCTGGAAGATGTAGAACGCGGGAGACCCTAATATAGTAACGCAAATGTTTCTGCTATTTTGCAAGTACTTCGCAGGTCCAATGACTATAAACAAACGAAAACAAGCCYACATATTTATTACTTTTACAACACCACTTACCACACTTATGCTGCTTGCATAGTACCACGGGGTGGCCACCGCGTGTCTTGGTGCTCAAACATGGACCGCGGGGGAATGGAACACATATCTCGTCAGCTGCGCATTCAGCATTTTCACATGGATTCTAAGCAAACCAGAATATTGAAACGGAATTTAAAACTGCGATAATGCAGAAAAAAATTGTGTTATTGCTGCAGAATAATTGCTTGGATTATCACTTTGAGCCCAACACATTGGAAAACTTTTAGTGTCCTCATTTAATGCAATAATGTTGCGCAACACATGAAATCTGCATAATTTCATTGCTCATAATGACAAGCACACCTTAGTCAGTCGTACTTTCTTAGCCAGATTTTAGTTTCATCACGCAACACATCCCTGTCTATTCCGTGACAATTCTAAAACCGGCTACGAGAGAGAGACCCACGCATTCATGTCACAATCATACGTATTTTACATCTTGCTGAAAAGAGGGTTTTATTGAATGCCTCCATAATGATTTTCCATTGGCGGCCAGTATTTCATCCTTGAATTTTGCGACTTCTTTTCCCGCCAGCTTTCTAAAGAAGCAGGCGAAGAAGAAGTGAAAGCTTCAAGACAAGGTCGACTAACTGTTCAAATCCATCTTTCTTTCCAGTGAGATATTATGCAAGCGTCAAGATACCGCGAAAGCTAGTTAGCCCATGGCCACAACTATTATACTGGCCTTTAGTCGGTGTTTCTGTGTTTTTATTCATGAATTTTGATTCTCACAAGAGTCAAATTTCATTGTATTGTCCTCCACGTTGAGTTACATTGGGAATACGTTGCAAGGAGTCTTTTGCAGGTGTTGAAGCTTTAAAACTTGTCGTTACTATGGATGGTTACTATCAGACATTATTATTAGTTATTTAGCGTCTCTGCGAAAATTCTAGGCCTGTTATAGTGTCGAGAGGTTTTAAATTAAATAGACCTTTTTCAGCTAACAACCACTTGCTGACATCCCCCGTCCCCGTATCGCCGTAGTTACATTACGTTTTTATGAAGTCATGAAATCTCTATATACATTTTTTCATTTGGGACACAAAMAAATTGCTGTATCCGCCCCTGCGCCCCTTGGAAAAGGCTTTGCTGGGAAGCAAATAAACTTTATTACACTAAGCATCCCAGGTACGTGACTGTACCCTGAAGAGGGCATATCTCACGTTATAGCCGCCACTTTTACAAAACGTCTGTTTTGGTTTGTGTGTGTGTGTGACGAAATGTTTTTTTTACGTGAAGCAAATTGGTGGGACTTGCTTAGTGTCCTCGTATTCTCGTGGGAAGAGATGCACAACAAAAAATCTCTGAWGAATACTTACGGCTCTGTTACAAGGTCCCTGAATGATTTCGTCAATGTCATAGTTTCCACAGAAGCGTGCGTGACATAAGGAGYGATAAGTTCTCCAATCAGGACCACATACTGGCGTCACAGGTTCTCTGTCACACTCCATACAAATGTCGATATGTCTYTCGATTCCACTCGTACGTTCCATCAAAGCGGCGTAGTTGACATAATCGTGTTGCGCACCGTGACRACGAAGGCGAGTGCAGACCCATTCGCCTAAGTAAAGGTAACGACAAAGTTCTCAATTATTCATTGTCTTGTCTTGAATATTATCAATATTCTAAACTAACTTTCAAATCGATTAGAGCTKTTAAGTCATGACGTATCTTTCTTACGAAAACTGCAAAAATAAAGTGGAAAATGCTCTCAATGATTTAACTTCCATCTGAAACATTTAGAACTTTGGACAACCAATCATGTCACGAAGAAAAATAAAGACACATTTTAAAAAGAACTGCTTTTCGTTTTGGACCCGGAAGTGGTTTTCGCACACGATTGACGCCACACTTWAGAGCTCAATTGGAACTTGGCCTGTTAGGTTTTGCGGTGGGAGAAAAACCGGAGAACGCAGAGAAAACCCTCGAATCTATTTATTTTTTAAAATTTATTTAATAACTTTACAACCAGATGTTTAAATCTAATTGAGGGCATGGTCGACAGGACAAGAGTCCCATGTAAAGACCTGCCTAGAAAAAAATACACACTAAAAGAAAAAAGGAAAAACTAAAGCAAGAATAACAATATGATGTACAAAGTTAAGAACAACAATTAAGATTAAAAGAGTGGCACTTCAAACAAAAGGAAAGGATTTCCACGTACGCATTCTATTGACATCAAAAGTAGAGTTAAGTTTAGAAAAGTAATGAGAATACAGATTACTCTTGAATCAAGGAAGAGAGAGACCTATCTCTACTCACATGTGATGCCGACTATAACCTTGTACTTACGTTTCCTGCAAACACAGTAGTTACATCCATCATAGTGCGCAGTTGATTCGAGAACCATCTCACCATTTATAAAAGAACACATGTTATCCAGTTTATCACTTCTACAGCTTCTGGGCTTAGTCTCACAATGAGCCCTTCCTTTAATACATTGACAGAGACGGCAGTTATCCTTGTCATAAACAAAGGTTTGATCAGCAACTGTTCCACAGTCTAGTTCATTTTGGCTGTCCTGTTGCATCCCTGCGATCAAAACTGCCGTTAGGTTTTGTTTATGAATTTTAGGCATAAGTTTTCAGAATTTTTAAGTTATTATTCCAAAAAAAAAAAAAGGATTATTTAAATGCGTCTTTAAAAATTTATTTCTTCCAAGTGTGGGTGGACAAGATTATAAATTGTTTGTTTGTAGGTGTGTGCTTTGGTTAATTTGTTTATTCGTACGTTGCTTGGTGCATTGATTGTTTGATGGAATGGATAAATGAATGGTTAGTTGGATGGAAGGATGGTTGGTTGGTTGGTTGTTTTTTTTTTAATTGGATGGATAGATGGTTGGTTAGATGGATACATGATGTGAATGGGTAGAACCAGTCAACGATAACAAATAATTYTGAATAAACTACTTACAACTTTGTTCTTCCACCTCCAAAT